CACTGCTCCCCTCAGGATGAACTTTTCTTTGATGGTTCACATTAGTTTGTGAATATGATCATTTAAAAAACCATTTCTAGGAACTGAAACAGGTTGAATATCTTAGTTTCTACCGACATAAACTCTAAAGTCAGGAACAATAATGCTGCTCCACATTTTCATTTCTCTAATTTCTCAAAAACTCAGTTTCAACATCCTGCTTTCCAAACCGTCCTGAGTTGTGTGTGAACTCTGAGTTTTGATGTTAAACAGCGCAGAGAGCTGCTCGGGGCACTTTCTGTGAGACGGCTGTTAGGGCTGAATTATAAGAGCACACAGAGGTGCAATAAACAATTCAGGGACTTGTGGGGGCCGAAGAGGAAGGAACCAGAGTGTTAGGTCATCCTCTGTATGCTCATAGTGCCACAGAGAAACTTCCCCCTGTCTGCCAGCCAACAGGCCTGAGCTCAGACCAGACAAACACACCTCCAGCACACACACACACACACACACACACACACACACACAAAAACCAGTGTGGGAAATAACACGGCAGCCAAGTGCAGCTCAGACTGGGCTGCAGCCCTGCACAGCCCGCCTGCTCTGCTCGCCGTCCGGCAGGTAAACAACCATTGTTTGGAGGAGCTGTTCTTCAAACTCGGCTCAGGCCGCGTCCACGCCAGGCCGAGCAAAAACACATCATTTCTGACCGAGCCCCCCCCCCCCCCCCCCCCCCCCCCCCCCCTTTTCTAACGACGACACAAGCTGAAACTGAAAACTGGTGTTTGTCCCCGAGCAGCCTTCAGAGTGAATCCGTCTGGCTCGGCGACGTGGCGCTCAGACGCTGTCGAGGTTACGAAGACGACTCCTCACTTCGACTGTCAACACAACCCATCACACAGTAGCTGAATCAGCGTTTCACATTCTTTCATTCTAAAGCTTCTTGATCAACATCTCTGTGCAGCAGTCGCGTTACTGTTTTTTAGACTCAGGTTAGTTTGTCTGACAACGAGACAGTTGATTAATACAATGATACACAGTGAAAGATCAATAAGAGACAGTTTAACCAGCTGAGACGTTCAGGTGCAGCAGGGTCACCTGCTGTGTCTGTCCCTGCTCTGACCCCCCCCGTACAAAAGTGTAATATATTACATATATGTCCATTTAACAAGAGTGATGTCATACATGTCACCTGCGAGGGGAAGTATCATTATCACATATGAAGATATAAGTTTAATAATAAGTGAAATACCCACAGTAAAATTTGTATATGAACAAATATCAAAAATATCTATATGATGAATTTTTATATAGAAACATGTTGCAACCATAAATGTTACTGAGACATATTTAATTTATATTTGCAAGATAAAACAACATACATTAAAAGATGGTATGTTATTCCATATGTTCATTTATGTTTTTCTTATTAATTAAAGGTTTTAACTTCAAGAGTGAATAGATTTTTCCATCGAGTCGAAGCAGGGACTCGCTGCTGAGGACGTTTGGACCCATGTGGTTTGTGTCCTAAACATTCAGCTTTCACGTCGCCCTGATAGATTTTAAATGTGTTGCTCATGGACATTATCGTCCCGCGACGCAGCACAAACAGAGAACACGCTCACCGGTGCAGAGGAGAAGAAAACAATCTTATTATTATTATTAGGTTTAACTGTTTGATTTCAGTTGCTCGTAAAGTCAGACCCACAAACTAAACGTGGATGAAAACTTGATATTTCCAGACCTGAATTTCCTTCCTGTCTCTACTGATTCTATCAAAATAAAGGCATAAAAATGTCAAAAAAAAAAAAATTATTCCAAGTGCCGACAAAACCATCCTGTTCAGTTTAATTGCATGTAAACTGACGACTTAAAAATACCACACAGCTTTGTCCTTTCAAATTTCACCGAATGGAAATAAGATATATAACAACAGAGACACAACCAGCCTGATACAATTATTCATTTTCACATGAATGAATAAAACATATTAGGGGATAACAGTCGGTCCTGTATCATGATGGTCGCAGGTTCATCTGACTTCAGAGCACACACCTCCACCTGAACTCTGCACGAAGGAGTCAACACACCATTCAGATTAAAACCCCAAATCTGACCATCAGAGAACGTCTGAGAACAGGCGTCATCTGTGGCCGAGAACCTCTCGTTTTCCATCATAAAGACAAATCTAAAGCCCCACACACACACACACACACACACACACACACACACACACACACACACACACACACACACACACACACACACACACACACACACCAGAGCGCATCAAACACAGTCATGTTTGCATTAAATCAGCTTTCTCAGTGTAAAAATAAATAAATAAATAAACTACACAAGAGGAGAAGTGACTTTGAAGAAATGGTCAGCGTCGGATCATGTCGGCCATTTTTACACCTTCATCTGACGGAGGAGTCAGGAACAGCAGAACCGCTCCACCCTGCTCACAGTGATTACACCTCGCTCTTAAATACAAATGTACGACGATGACGACATTTCACATATTCAACACCTTGACACGTGTCAGTGCAGCTAGTCAAGAAAATCCTGTGACGTCATTAACTCAACTAATACTTGGCGTTTACGTCGAGCTTTGCTGCAAAACTTCTGACTCAACCAAAAAAAAAAATTGGTCGTCATTTAATTAACGCCAGGAAATCTCACGAAAAGACAAAAAATAAAAGTCTGTCTCTCCAAACCACATTAGTTCCTACTGAAGACATAAATATTTAATGACAGCTCACAAATATAAAGTTTCATTTTTAATAAAGGCTCAGTTAATTTCCTGAAGCAGCTGCTCGCTGCAGCTTTCAGCAAGTGTTACTGAAACGGGAGGAAATAGGGAACTATTTTCAGCAGCGGATGAATCCACATTTGGGGCTTCACTGAGTATTTACAGCAGCGGGACGGTGTGTGTGTGTGTGTGTGTGTGTGTGTGACTGAGTCTGAATAAACTAGAGTGTGTGTGTTCATGGTGATGACTGATTGAGTCAAATATAAAAAACCATCCTCACCTCTTTTCTGGACCCAGCCTTCCTTGACGACGTTCTGGTCGCTCATGGTGGCTTCTCCTCGTCACCAGTCCTCCCAGTTCTCCCAGTGTGGTGACCGTGAAGGGGACAGCTGTTGTTGGGAGGGGCAGCGGGACGGAGGGCTCGGGTGAAGCTCAGTCAGCTGTCCGTCTGACCGCTTGACCTCCGACCTCCAACCTATCCTGCGCCCGCTCTCACCTGACCTCAGATCTGTCCGTGTGCTCCCTGCTGGGTTGTATGAATCTACAGTGTCTCTCTCTCTCTCTCGCTCTCTCTTTGCCTCGATCACTTTCTCTTTCTCCCTCTCTCCCGCCGACCCGACCTCACTTCCTCTGGCTGTCTTCTGTCTTTCTCACCTCTTTTTAGTTCTTTACTCCCTTCTTTCTCTTTCTCTCCCTCCTTCCTTCCTTCCTTCCTTCCTTCCTTCCTTCCTTCCTTCCTTCTCACTCTCTTGCTTCACAGTTTTCCTCGCTTGCTCGTTCTCTCAGACTTCTTCTTCTTCTTCTTCTTCTTCTGCTGTGTTCAGGCGCTGCGGTGGTGACTCAGCCTGGAAGGAAACGGAGGCAGAGAAAGGAGAGAAGGGAGAAAAAAGAAAAACACGGAGCAGGTCAGTGGATAGTTTCCCTCGCACAGCAAACACAGCAGGCCACCACTCATTGTTCAGAGCCTTAACTCACTTCCTCCCTCCTTACCTCCTTCTATCCTTCCCTTACCTCCTTCTCTCCTTCCTTTCCTTCTCAACCAGCGTCTTCTCTTCCTCCCTATCAGTCTTTCCCCAACTACTTTCCCTCCTTCCTTCTTTACTTTCCTCCCTCACTTGGCCTTATTCTCCTTCCATTACCTCCATCTCTCCTCCCCCGTTTTCCTCGTCTCCTCCTCTCCTTCCTCTCTTCACTAAACCCTTTCCTTCCTTTCCTACTACTTTTCTCCACAAGGGTTTCACCTCCTCTTCTCCCTCCTTCCTCTCTTCTTCACCTCATCATTCATCTCCTCATCTCCTTCTTTTGTTCCCTTCCTCCATTTCACCTCCTCCTTTTCCTTCTTTCCCCATTAGTCCATCACTACTTAATGACTTCTTCCCAAACTTTTTGCCTCCTCTCCTTCCTCCCTTCCTTCTTTCTCGTCCTCCTTGACCAGGTCTTTTTCTCCTCCCCTTGTTTCCTCCTTCCTCGCAGAAGTCTGGTACCTTCCTCTCTTTCTCACCTTCTTCCTTCCAGCACCTACTCTCCTTCCCTTACCTCCTTCTCTCCTTCCCTGTTTTCCTTGTTTCCTGGCACATTCACCATCTCCTCCTATCCTTCCTTTCTTCACTAAATCCTTTTCTTTCCCTAACTACTTCTCTCCACAAGGATTTCACCTCCTCTTCTCCCTCCTTCCCATACCTTCATCCCTCCTTCTCCATTTCCCCCATCTGTTCTCACATCATTCATCTCCTTGTCTCCTTCTTTTGTTCCCTTCCTCCATCCCACCTGCTCCCTTTCCTTCTTTTCCCCACTAGTCCATCACTACTTAATGACTTCTCCCTAAACTCTTCACCTCTTCTCCTTCCTTCCTTCCTTCCTTCTCATCTCCCTTGACTAGGTCTCTTTCTCCTTCCTTGTTTCCTCCTTCCTCGCAAAAGTCTGATACCTCCTTTCTCACCTTCTTCCTTCCTTCCTTCACTAGTACCTACTCTCCTTCCTTACCTCCTTTGCCTCCTCTCCCTCCTCCTTCCTTCCACCGTCATAACCTCTNCTACCTCCTTTGCCTCCTCACCTCCTCTCCCTCCTCCTTCCTTCCACCGTCATAACCTCTTCATCATTCTTCCTTCCTTTGTTATCACCCTTCCTCATTATCTTTCCTTTTCTCCTTCCTTTGCTTCCTCCTTCCTTACAAAACTCTGGTACCTCCCTGCCTCTTCCTTTCCTATCTCCTCTTCTCCTCCTTTCCTTCCTTCCTTCTTCCCCTCCCTCCTTCAACAGCCACTACTCTCCATCCTTTTCCCTCCTTCTGTCCTTCCTCACTTCCCTTGCCTCCTCCCTTTCCTTCCCTGTCCCTCCTCCATGACTCCTCCCTTCGCTTCTCCTCCTCTGACTTTTTTTTAATCGATTAACCGTTTCAGTTATTTTCCAAGGAGCGACATGGAGCCTGTTTCTTCACATTTCCAACATGGAGGCTGCGTCAGAAGCCGTACTCGCTACGACAGCTGCAAAGTTTAATCAATAAATCGATTAGTAGATCGACAGAAAATAAATCAGCAACTGCTTTGATAATCTTGTGTTAATTTTTCTCTGGTTCCCGCCTCTCAGATGTGTCTAGTTCCTGGTTTCTTTAGTCAACAGACTGGGTTTCAGACTGTTTCTGACAATTAACAGACAAACAACAAGTTGATAAATCAAGAAAATAATCGATAGATTAATCAATAATTAAAGATTTGTAGATTTATCTTCATCTTTAGAAGCGACAATCATTTGTGAAATACGATGTTGCCAACATCTGCGATCTACGACTCAGAAATGCAAATGTTTTGGTGAAACAGGCGCCTGATCAATAATCTGAGTTAGACACGGCTCCCATTAAAAACTACACCGGGGGGGGGGGGGTCCCTACACCTGACTCCCCTTAACCCTCTTCTGCTTCCTCCCTCATCTCTTGTCCCCACTTCCCTTGTTTCCTGGTCCCCTGTCATCATTCCTCCTGCTTCCCTCTTTTATTCCTTTCGCTCTAAAACTTCCTCTTTGACACGACCTGATCAAGGCGGGAATGTTGCACCTTTATTCCTCCTCACTGTTCTGTATAAAAAGGTACGCACATGGAATTGGGGGAGGAGGGGGGAGGGATTGTTGTTCCGGTATTAATCCAGCAGCGGAGGTAGACACAGAGACGGATCGATGTCTGTGTAAAAGGGAGGGCACGGCGGGATGCTGTCTAGAATCACACACGGGGTTCAGTGTAAACAAGTCGAGATGGAATGACGAGCTGTCGACTGACCACCCAGCACAGACAGACAGGTGAACAGCAGACAGACAGGTGAACAGCAGACAGACAGGTGAACAGCAGACAGACTGCGACAACGTGTGAACTCTGAACGCACCTCTGTTTGTCTCTCCTAAAACCACACGAAGGTCCCAGCTCAGTTATGACAGATCAATCAGTGACTCCTGAATCTGACTCCAGGTCTGCACCTATTGGTTCCTCAGATTCTCAGAGACTAATGTGACGTATGAAATCAATCTGTGTTTTAACGGAGGCCCAGGACACCGACCCCGAGAGCCACCGTCTCCAAAATCAACCCTTAGATGATCAGATTGTTTTCAAATTCATCCTTAAAAAGCTGAAGACTGAACATGTTGTTGATTTCCTGTTTACAGTGTTAGACCCTTCGCACACACACACAACGCAACAGAGGTGAGTCTCACTTTAAGACGCTCGAGAAAACCGAAGCAACCAGCTACGAAATGTTTCGCTGCCTCACGGTGATCAACAAAAACAATGACTCAACAACTCAACCCATAATGCACTGCAAAAACTCATTTAATACACTCAACAGTCACAATCACATTTAAGTTTTCCTATATATATTTACTGAAGAATTTTGTAATTTCTTATACAAATAGTGATCTGTGTGCCACTGTTCGCTTCCTGCTGCCAAACCCAAAAGAACAAAGTCTTATATTGTACAGAGGCAGACGTTTCTGTTTCCGTCACTACAGAAAAAAACCATAATAAACTTTACTTATAGAGCACATTTCTAAAACAGGGTTTACAGAGAAAACAAACAGAGAGGAAATTATTTCCCATAAGGAGATGAAAACAGTGAGGACAGTGAAGGCTCACAGGAAGGCCTGAGCGGTAAAATGTGTTTTAAGACGTGTTTTTATAGATGAGACAGACTCATCAGACATGATGTCTTTGCGGAGGCTGACCCACAGTCTAGTCTCCTTTGTTTTCACTCTAGACAGAAGAGCAGACTTCAGAGCTGCACTTGTGGACCTCAAGGGTTAAAAGGTCTGAGCTGTAGCTAGCGTCTTATCCTGGCTTTAAAAGTGATATGTCAAATTTTAAAACGAATCCTAAAACTGACCTGCAACCAGTGCAAAGATGCTACGCCGGGTGTGAGGTGCAGTCGTGTTTCTTCTTTTGCTACAGACTGAAAAAAGTGACTTTCATTAAAAAGACGGGATGACATGAAGGCATGGATAACGGTGTCCAGGTCTGCGGAGGACAGGAACGGCTTGATCGATAGAAACAGGACGACACGGTTGAATTTATACGACCAGAGGTTGACGTCAAACAAAACATGAGATAGTTGGAGTGAGAACCAGGTTTAAGGCTTAGAAACATCCGCACCAATGAAAAGGATCTAAACTTGAACTGTTCTGCTCTCTGCAGATCTAGTCTTTTCCCGGGTTTTGGCTGTTTGACACTGAAATGATGACACGTCTACACGGTCTTTAAAACTTCCCATTATCACGCATTAATAAAGATATTTTCAATATTCATAGGTATTAATATATGGCAAATATATGCTAAATGTCATCACAACAGTTGTATCGTGCCTTACATGAGACTAAACTCTTCATATGCGTCAGTAATCTTGTCAGGTTTTACAAACAGCCAGTCACTTGGACAACAGATCCGTGAACCGTCACGTTAAGATCATTATCGTCCCGATGTGATTCCAATAACAGACGAAGAACAATATCATACTGCTGCCCAGCCGAGATATAAAACAAACAAAAAAATGCAGTGACAACACTTATTATATTTTTCTGATGCGCTTCTGTCCCTTTTGTAAATCACTCTGTTGTGCATCTGTGTCTGAAGGGAGCTACACAAATCTCTGGTCTTTATATGACTTTCCAGGTAAATGTTTCCCTGCTCAGTCTTACCAGTAACACGGTGAGTCATACATCATTGTCTTATAACAAATCACACATCACAGAACTGCCTAGATCATGTGATAGCATGTGTACCCCTCTCCTATTAGTATTTTATAAGTAATTAAACAATAAAGCATGATATATTTTTTTAAGAAAAGTCTCATTG